GAGATCATTATGATCCACTCTTTCCCTAGCAAGCTTTGTTGCTGCTAAAGTTGGCTCATTTTCAACAATTGAACTAGACCCTTCATTCTTATTTGCAACATTATTCTGTTGACTAACTTCAGCACCACCTTCTCCTTCAGCACAATGTACCCTGCTGACCCTGTTACACCCTGATATTTGGGTTCAGGTTCAACCTTAATGCAAGAACGATTGGGTTGATGATTACGTACGAAGGGTGACAACAACGGATTAAAATTAATAATAATAATTATTATATTATTTTTATTGTTATTGTTATTAAAAAAAAGGGGGGAAAGGAATCCCCTCCCCACCCGTTACATACCTGATACCCATCAAATTCCCCCTCCCCAGACCCATTAATCCCATTAATTTCCCCAGACGTTCCTCTTCTTCCCTTTTAATCAGAAGAGCATCAACGTAAAGGGAATTGGAAAAGAAACCCCCAGCCACCCTCGAGCAGTATCCAGCGCCACAGCAGCAGTGCGCTTGCGTCCTCCGCGACAGTAGTCCGCACAGTGGCGGCGCACACCACCGCTTCCCGGAGCCTCCCATCATCGTCTCTGCCCCTCTCTCGTAAAGGTCGGAACTAAGGAGGTGAGAGAGGTTGAGAGGTCGGGTGGCAGCAGGAAATACCGAGGCGATTTACGGTTGATACGGTGGAGAAGAGAGCGAGTTGCCGGGGGATTTCATGGAGTCGTCAGGAGGTAAGGGAACCAACCGGAGTAAATATTATGTACATTTGAAGGGTAACGACTGCATAGCACGAGAAACAACCTGGTGACGTTGATTGATGGATGGGACACCGGGCGGCCGAGGTGTTGTACGCGGTAGTTTATTGATTCAGAGCTAAGCTGAGGTAACGAGCCTTTTCCATACTCCTCATTAGCGTCTATTAGAGGGCAATCAATAGTCCAGAACGACTAATTCTTTGAAGTGATCAGGAGCTGAACATGTTGGCATATTGCAAAGTACGGTGGGATATGGCGATTAAAGAGGGTTGGGTTTTAAGTCCTTGTATAGAGCTAGGAAAGGACAGTACCATTCATGATTATGACGTGGTGCAGATTATGCTTTTCCAAGAATTATATAAAGATTTTGGACTCTTTTGCATGGGTTGGGAACGTTTAATTTCCTGTGCCCTTGGTGATAATTGAAGGGCCATGGAATTGGAAGCCCTGAGTAGGGATTGGTTCACGTGGCCTTTTGTCTACGTGATGATCATGGGTTAGTAATGGAGGATTGACAAGTTAATTGGCATTGTAGAGTGGAGAAGATGAGAGCCAGCAAGGGCGGCCAGTATATGTTGCATGGTCAATGATAATTAGTTCACAAGGTCGTGAAGGAATGGGTGGTTTGGTTGGCTACGAAAATAGCTGAAGGTATGTGATCAATTGGAGTCAACGGAGACAACAAAAGCAAGGATGGTTAGTCCAAGCCGAATCAACCTCGGGTAGCAAGGTGAGTGTAAAGGGGGTAAAATCTCCGTCGAGGTCTTTTAGTTTATGCCTTTTTAATTCAGTTATGTTATTTAATTTTCAAGTAAGCACGATTATGTGTGTGAGGCATCCCACCGCCTATAAGGGTGGAGGCACGCGTTGTGCTATGTATGGATGTATGTGATGTTGTATGGATTGATGGTATGAGGAACCCCCGGGCGGTTGGGCCACTACTGGACGCGGTAGATGGTCGGGTCACTACTGGACGGCGAGACGTAACGCAGTAGTTGACGGGCATGGACTGGACGGCGAGACGTAACGCAGTGCCATTGCCGAGTTTGGGTATGCAACCGGACGGCGAGACGTAACGCGGTTGGCATACTAGGGTAGGACACCGGACGGCGAGACGTAACGCGGTGGTCCTAGTGGTCTGTGTTGAGATAAGGATAGAGGTCGAGAACTATTTTGAGTTAATGTTGAAATGAGTTGATAAGAATGGTTATTTGAGAGCAGAAAGCGAGAACGGCTTTCATGCTAGGAAGGCATTCCCCTAATAACGTGTTTTAGTAAGGAAGTTTGCTTAGGGCAAGACCTTAGGAAGTAACGACGAGACTGACCCCTTCTCACTCACCAGGTTGAGGAAGGGTTAGCAAAGGTGGATCCCGAGAAGAGGCAGTGTGAGGCGAGCTACTGCACCAGCATGGACGAGACCTCAAGGAACTCAACCAGGAGTTAGAACTAGAGTTAGTTTAATTATTTTGTTTATGGTTATGAGTATATGTACTGGAGATTCAAGGTTCAAGATGCTGTGTTAAGTTGTTTTAAGTGTTTGAGATTGAGTATTTGCCCAAGTGTTGGGGCTTTTTGATTTGAAATTAATAAATAAAGTCAGTTTGTTATTTTAAAAGTGGTTTGGGTTGCTCCGGAGTAACCGGTTTTCGGTTCGAGTTATGGTTTGGTTTCAAAAAGAGTCGGGACGTTTCAGACCCAATCCTTCACAGGTTCACTGCTTTCAACATACAAACCATTATCTCGCTCACTCACAAGCTCTTCATAATCCTTGTAAGGGCCCTTAAAATCAGCATAAGTGCACCCCGCATGAGAATTCAGGTGAACCCCATAATATGTTGGGAAAATCTGAAACCCATACTTGACACTGGAGTTGAAGATCGCCATATTGCAACCCACGTATGGAGCCTTGAAACAAGGGTATTTTTCTCTCATTGTAGAAGCTACACAATTCTCACTATAACCACAACAAAGTCGAACTCCCTAATTCAACTTAGAGTGCATCAATGGAATATGGCAGCCCTGGAATCCAGAACTAAACACTGTAGGAAAAACTTGAATAGCAAAATTATCACAGCTGCCAGAAATGCTGCTAGCCCCACGCGAAACTGAAGATTCAATCTTCCGTGCACATATGTCATTAGGATTCCCAGTGGATGAATGGATTTGAGGAGTAGAAGTCTTCTCCAGGAAAGGAGAATTATCCAACAGATTTGAGGGTTCAGAAGTCGACGAACCAACAGGAGAATAAGCACAAGAATCGATTGGATATACAACAACTGCGGAAGTATAAAGCAACGAAGCAAAAGATGGTGGGGAAAAAGGCAAGGCAAACGACGGTGGTTCATGAGAAGAGGGATTTGGTCTTGAATTTTTGGAGAAGAAACAGCAGAAGGAATTAGGGATTTCGGTGTTGGTGTAAATAGGGGAGAAACCCAATTGAAGGTTGGAGAAGGAATCTGGTGGTTGGCGATCGAGGCAGGTTTCACGGAGACGGTGGAAGAGAGAACCCACACATGAGGAGCCAAAATCAATGAACGACACGTGGTGGACTGAACTGCTGTGAATCGGCGAGCTGATTGGGAGTCGCGTGCCATGGAGAACGAACCGTCGAATCGTCCCGCCGTTACTCCAACGAAGCAGTAAGAGCATCGATGGAGGCCTTCCTCGAAGCCGCAAGAGCAGCAATGGCGGCATTCAAATCCTGGTGCCGTGAGTCCATCTGCTGCTTGATGGCCGCCATTTGAGTTTCCAAAACAACGATTCGTGTGGTGTTGGTAGCCATTGCCAGATTACAAGCTCTGAATACCACTTGTAAGGATCGTGATGGGGATAATTTGGCGAAATGGATTGGATTAAGGAATAAGAAGATACAGGGAAAGGAAAGACGAGTTTTATTGAGCTATCTACTATAGAATAGGTAAAGTAGTTACAACCGGTTGATTGGTCAAAAGATAGAATAGCCCGCTAAGCCCTCTTCTATTTATACACTTTGACAGCTGGCTTGGGTTGTTACAGCTCCCCTCTACCTAATCAAGGTCCCTATCCTCAAACCCTAAGCGGGTGGAAGAGAGGAGCTATGGAGTTAAAGAATCCAACTACAAGATTCTGCAAGAAAATCTGGATAGAAGCAGAATTGATCACGGCGTCAAATGAAGCTCCGAAATAGGATCAGTCATCGTGAGCCATAGAGGAATTTATGCGTGGACTCCGTCGAACCCTATCGTCCTTCAGAGTCCTCTCTCTAGTGGTTTTTACATTTGACCCTTTTCACCTCTCCAACTGAGTTTCCTTAGCTTCGACGCTTTTTTGGTTTAGTGAAATTTGACCCTCCATGAAGTTTCAGAGGTGAATCTGATGGAACATTTGTTGGGTCAGTACGGTGCGATGATTTGCTTTTAGATCCTCTTTGTTGACCTCTCTGCGCATGAGTTGATCTCCACATCGTTTCTCTGCATGCGATCCAAAATCGTTGTAGAAGTAATCTATGTGGTAGATTCCCCCAATTACTTTCTCGATGATAAAATGAAGGAAGCCTACTGTTGAAATTAAGATGAAGCCATCTTCAATTGAGTATAAAGGTGATTTCTTCGGCCATTGTTGAAGATAATGATAGCTATGGAGATGAAGATTGAATAAGACGAATAAAAGGGGAAATCGGAAGAAGAAAAAGCAGATGCAATAGGTCAATTGTGGGGTTGGACTTGGATTAGTTGTCGAGAGTTATCGGCATGCCGAAAGAAGGGGTCGTAGTAAGATTATTTTCCTGAGCTTCGCCAAGGTTATTTTCATGATTATGGAATCTCCTGAAGGCTCTAGATTTCTCATTGTCATTGTACATGAAGTGGAGGAGATGAGAAGGAAAAGGATAGAATAATGTGCATGTGGTTGCATATGGTTTTTTTTATTAATTTCAATTTTTTATTAAAATTATAAATGGTAATTAGAAGGTGATGTGGCATAGAAAAAATATGTTATTTCAAACTCATCAATTGATATGTCATGTCAGAGTCAACTAACATTGACTTGATGAAAAGTCAACAATTTGGCTGTCATATTGTTTTATTCCTTTAAAATATGTGACTACACTACAAGGGAATGGGCCAAGCCCAGGGGTTTCATGTCAGCGGTTTCACTAACCGCTGTCGGGCTTTCTTTATTATGCTTTTGGCAGCAAACCAGTCCAGCGGTTCCTATATCCGCTGAGGGGCGGGCCCATCGCGCTATTTATTTTTTTACGTTATTTTTTCCGACTTTAACGAAAGAGCTTTTTTGTCTTTCTGAAGCATTATCGAGAAGTTTCCGGGAAAGAGCAGAGCTCTTCTGGCCAGAGATTCCGCCATGAGTCGTTTTCTTCGTACACCTTGAACTCCGACGTGTTAGTAGTGTGAAGCCTTTTGCTGCTCCTCCTCTTTTGACCGATCATCACTACCACATTCTTCCGATCTTCTTCCGGTACTCTCTCAGAACGTAATCTCGAGCCTTATTCAGTTTTGTTTTTCGAGATTTGATTTGTGCATGTGGATAGATCGAAATGCAAAGTGCGAATTGGAGTGAAGTGGATCAGCATCGAGATTTGTATTTCGTCGTTCTCATTTTCCTCAATCGATTGCTTCTCGAATCGCTGGCAATACGTCCCAAGATCAACAGCAGTCGGCCATCTGGGATTTCGTCGACTTGTGTGAGTCCATCCCGATTCCTCTTTTATCAATTCGCTGGTCTCACTGAAAATAGATATGTTTAATCGCTTATCAAGACGAAAGCCTCTGTTGTTCTTCTTTCCATATGATAGAATCGAACTCTATCTCCATAGTTAGGGTATTTGACTGATTTATGAACCAATTGATCCCTTGGTTCTGATTCCAGAAGTTCTTAAGCTTGAATTGATGTATGGTTTGAATTATTTGTAACTTATGTGAGTTTCACATCGATGCTATAGTGTTATTGATCATTGGGTTGGTACAGAGCTAGATTAGGGTCCCCACCTTTATTTCTTTCTAGGTTTCATTCTCTAATGAGAGAAGGAAGCTTTCGCTACCTTATATAACTAAACAACTCTTTTCTTTTCTCCATTTTCCCTAATATGGGAATCCTATATTTCATTCATAATTTTGTGGTGGAAACTCATGTTAGCATGGTTCAATACACTTTCAGAGCAGAGCCCTTTTGGTTAGACATGTATATTCTCTCTCTTAAGATAAATGTAGAATCATATTGTAGTTCTGGTACTGTTAACCAGTGACAAATGGTGATGATTTTATTGTGCAGAAGCTAGGAAGTAAGTTATTTTAAGTTAGTTTTCTTGCAGTGTATAGTTTCTAGTATAGAGCATAATCATTACCTGTGATCTTTTGGCTCTATTTTATTAGCTTATAACATGCATATGGTTCTGGATTTAACTGGATAGTGTTTTTGATTTGTTGGTATAAACTTGTCCAGTAGCATGTAGGGAGAAGTGCATTTTAGTATTCTTTTGTTTGTTTAGACTTAGAGAAAGGAACTATTTCTTTCTTAACTATTGATGCTCCTAAATTATGTTTCTTCTACAAAATAATTACAGACAACCTGATATAGAAGGAAAACTTCCTCAAGAATCATTTGATGCTGCTGGTTTAAAGCAATACTTTCAAAGATAAAGCATGTTACAGGGTTGGCATAGTCGGGAACTTGCTTAAAGCATGTTTTCCTTTCCTTTATTCTCTAGCGTTTTGTTCTTCTTACTTTGTGACAAACAAAGACGACCAACCCTTGAAATGTTGTGATGAATGCAGAACTTTCAGAAATCAACTAATACGATTGATGTTGTAGTTCATTTGGATCCTGAGAACAAAGAGCTTTGGTCTGCTTTCAGGTAATATGAAACTGGTTCTTTTGAGTTTATCGCAAGAAACAAAGGGCATTATGGACCACTCTTATACTTACATGTCTATTTGATGCTCGTGATGACTGAATAAAAGTGAGAACTCCTGAATTATTTAGTAGTAGGGTTGATTTCTTTTTGAACTTGTCTTTTTGCCATGCAGGAAAAATCCCATTTTCATCTCAATATACGAGCAGGAGCAGGTATGCTTCTGAGGTGGGTCTTCTACAGATTGTACTTCTTCCTCAAATCAATATTAGTTGCTTCTTACTACTATGCTACAAATATGGTATTGCTTATCTGACTATAAATGTGCTTTGTAGCCATCATGTTCATATACAGGTTTATGCCTTTACTCTTCCTCGGTTATTTATCATTTCTCTCTTGCACACCAAATTCTGGGGGCAATCCATTCAACTCGACCCGGTAGGGGATCTGACCCTTGAGTTTGATGATGGTGAAATATTCTAGTGGAGCAAAGTATGACCTCTGGTTTCTATTGATCATCATTCACCTTTGTGTCAACTCTTTTGTTTTAGTTTAAAAGCTCATAATCTTTGGTTGTATTGGTTTGCAGGTCACAACCGCAACTCTTAATCCTATTCTGGGTAAAGTGTATTGTGATCATCGGGTTAGAAAGGCAGCATTGCACTTATTTCTTTGTTTTCATATTCTTTTGATTGTATGATCTCAAAGGACCTCCTTTGGCTTCTTCTAAGATGCAATGGGAAAATTTCAGGATCAATCAGTTTACCTTAATGAAGTTGTTGAAAGTTCAGGTGGACTAACACAGGTTTTCATTGTATTTCTATAGTCTAGTTTCCCGGTTTGGAGTAGTCCATCACTTGTGAAAGTAGAATTGACATCCATTTATTTATGGTGCCATCTTCAGGGGTGTGGAACCATTTGATGGTCTTATCCTACATCGAATCTCTTGGGTGGGCATAGTGAGATAGGAGAAGGTCAGTTTTCCTGCCTAATTAATGTGGATTAGTTGTTCCTTTTCATCTTGCTTCTTTGTTTTTCAATTTTGCTGGTATTTATGTTTTGTAAGTTTGGTAGCTTGTTGAGTACCAGTAAGGTAATTCTAGTTGGTGTAGATGGGGTAGGAAGTAACTAACTGAAAGACTGACATGTAGTTCTTTGTGTCTGTAGTCTACAGTGATTAGTTTGTTTCATTTCATTCGCTTTTATGCTTGAAAGGGTTGTATTAGTTTGTATCTTTTCATGTATATGTTCAGGACCAATATGGGTTTGTATGTCACTTGCTGTTGTTTCTCTTCTTGTTCTATGTTTCATGGATTGTTTTTTGTTGCCTTGAAACTTATTTCCCCTCATTTTCTGTGCTTATTTATCTGTTCCGTGCTATTAATGAGTTTGATTCTATTCTTTTGGGTGGCTTTGTAACAGGCTAAGATGTGTTTCAGATGAAAGCAATGTATTACATAATGTGGGTGATTCAAGAGCAAGCAAAGTTGGATGTTGTGGATCTTGCTTGAAATTCGTCCTTCTATTAGTTGACATTGTTCTTTTGATTTGAGTTGCTATTTTTTCAATTTCTTTATGATAATTTGTGCTAGGAACAATGTGCATTGTGAATGAAGTTAGCCATCTATGGCAAGAGTAATGAGTGATTTAGACTTTTAAAGTTACAGAGAATTGAAATGCTGCAGCAGATAGCAGGGGTTCTAGAAATTTATGAGAATTTAAAATTTAAAATTTAAAATTTAAAATTTAAAATTTAAAATTTAAAATTTAAAATTTAAAATTCACTTGTTAACGTTTATTGACGCATTCTAGAACAGTGGCAAAAATTGTCTCTAAATCAAATTGCAGGGTTCCAAAACCGTTGCAAAAACATAGGTCACCGTTGGAAAAAAAAAGGCTCAATGACACATGGGGAATACAAATAACGGCCATTTAAATCCGCTGCAAAACCGCTGCAAGAGAATCCACCAGCGGTTGGGCCGACCCCTGGCATTCCCTTGCGGCGGTCGGTCTAGCGTCGGTTTTACTGGGGTTATAGCAACCGCTGGCGGGATTGGTAGCGCGGGTTATTTACGTTGCTAAATGTATAAATAACCCCTGCAGTAGCTATTTTATTTTGTAGTGCTATAACAACAAATATTGGCTGAAAAAAACGGTAACCTAGCTGATTATTTGAACATGAAGCTTTTCTCTAACAAAGTGACAATCTAGCTCAATGTGTTTTGTTCTTTCTGGAAGATGTGAGTTTTTCTCGCGTAAATTGATGACTAGTTGTCCCAATAAAGAGTTGCAGGTTGAGAATGATAGACTTGGAAATCTTGGAGAAGGTAGAGCAACCATTGGAGTTCAAAAGTGCTTATGAAGGGCCTTGCATCCTACTTCAGATGAAGATCTATCTAATGATGGTGGTTTGTTTCTTACTTCTTCAAGAAAAGAGGGAGTAGCTAATATAAACACATAATCGATAATGGACCTTCTTGTACCAACATAGGCTTCTCAGGAAAAATAACTGAAGGGGAAGAAAAGGAAAACTCACTAGTTGGAGCATTTTTTAGGTACCTTATTTAAAATATTGACCACTATTTTGTAATGAGCTTGACTTGGATTTGACATGTATCGACTTACTTCTTATGTAGCAAAACTAATATTGGCTGAACTTGTGGTGACATAATCATAATACTGAAGCTTACCATACAAGCAGCCACAATCAAAGGAGAGATCCATTATTATGTTATAGAACTCCCAACTATATGCGACTAAAAGAATTACAAAAGCATACGTGAATGGGCTAAAGCTAGTCGAGCTTTGGAGCGCGATCGCCTGCGATTCCAGGTCTGTGGTGGTGATTGTTTTAGTTGAACTTCGTCTTTAGAACATGAGCTAGCTCCCGGTTTGTGAGATGCGGAAAACTCATATCGAAACTGTTAGAAACCAATTTCATTAGGTTTTCTACATTTATTAGTATAATTACTATTAGGGCAGTTCTGATTATGGTTAGTAGTCTTTGGGTCGAATTAGGTTTATTGATAAGGTTTTCCCGTATTTCTTATAAATATGTAATTTGGGTTTCCATTCAGAAAATCCCTAAATCCTATTCTCTTCCAAATCCTCTCAATCTCTCTTCTCTTCCTAATCCGGCCGCCGACCATTCTTTCCTTGATCTTCCCCAAATTCTACTTCTTAACCCTAATTCTATCCTTCTCAATCCCTAAATTCTCAAATATCCCCCAATTCATAACCCGTTAGACACTTACTTTCTAACATTTGGTATCAGAGCCATGGTCGAAAATCTGAGCTCCTCAAAGCTCTCGAACCTGTCAAGGGCAGAGATAAGGGAACATGCTAGACGTATCATTGAATGTTGGAGCTCTGAGGAGCTGCCGCTTTCGAAGGAGGAGGCGGCCCCTGAGGCGATCGACGGAGCACAACCTTCGTAGCTGGTCGAGAGCGACGCAAAGGATGAGGAGCAGCCACTCGAGACAACATGGTAACCATAACCTTCAGAGGCGGCATAGGCTCAACTGCAGGAGCAAATACTAGGGATAATCGACCATTGGAGCCCTGATGCGCTACGACACGATGGCTTAGGCCAGGATTCCCCGAACGACAGAGCAGCAGCAAAGCAGCCACAAACCGTGAGCGATGGCGCAAAAAATGAGCAGCGGCCAGACGCGGTAACGACAATAACAACCGCTTCCACCATCGCGTTTGTCACCAACACCACTGCCGCATTCTTGGAGGATCTTGAGGAGGAAGAGCAACTGGCCGTTGAGGAGACACCAGCCGCAAAAACCATCACCGTGACTAGTGGTGGATCCAAAAAATTTATATAGGGGTGTCCTCTTTTAAAAAGTTAAGTAAAATAAAAATTAAATAAATAATAAAAATTAAATAATTCTTAAATAAGATAATACACAACTCGTACAAGTTAAAAAAATTCAATAATATATTTTATGGTTGTACGAAAAATGCTCAATAAATTTGTCTCGGTATATCCTACTAGACAATCATTCACGAACTGGCGCATATTTGACTTTTAATTTGTTCTTGATGTAACTCAAAGCTAAAAAGACACTTTCAACATTTTTCGTACAACCATAAAATAAATACAAATTAAGGGTAGCTTGTAATTAGATTAATTGTTAGGTTTTGAAAATAATTAAAGATAGAGAATAGGGTTTTGCTATTATATGGTGTTTAGAATAGAACAACAAAAAAGTTGTAGCCTAATGGAAATTATATTTATTAATAATAGTAGTGTCCCGGGTTTGAATCACCTAAACTACCACTTATAATCCCATACGCAAACTACAAATGAGAGTAGGATAATCGTTCTTTCAAATTTCAGAGTATCCCGGACTATTAATTATAATTTTTAGTCCATACGTAAATTACCACGGGAGGTTGGACAATCGATTTTCCAAAATTTAGGGGTGTCCCAGGACACCCCTAAACTCCCCTGGGTCCGCCCCTGACCGTGACAAAGCCGCAACATCCGGTGCTGGAGGACTAGAAAGCACCATCAACAGCTATCATTATCCCAATGACAAACACAACTAACGCAGTACGAGAAGTTGTCTCGGAGCCAATCCTGACATCACTAGCAGCACCAACTGCCACCGATGAAGCCCCAAAAATCGCAATTCTCTCGGTTGGGTCAGAAGAGGTGAGAGCTGAGGAGCCTGCAGCGGATATAAAAATGGAGGAGGTAAATTCCGGAACAACCCAAATTACTTTGACAATCCCAATTAATGCCTGGAAATTCAGGAAGAAGAGACAAAGGAGGAAGCTGCTGAAGGATGAAGCGCTGGAGAAGATTCATAGGGATCCATCGACGGTGTCGTCGAACTCACCGCATCTCATGATTGCAGAGGCTTGGGCGATCAGGAGCTCCGAGATCCACTTGATTAGGGGAGGAGCTCAGATTCAGCATGGGTAATGATGAATCGAAGAAGGAGGCGATGTTGGCTGAGCTTGATGCCGACAACAATCGACAAAGAGAAGCGGCAGGGGAGCGAGCTCGCTGGGTCTTCGTTGTATGCCCGAATTGGGACAACGACGCCAACAAGAAACTTCCTTCGAGGAGACGTGAGCGGGATGTCGAGGCGAAAGTCGAGCATCACGAGATCGTCCCTTGGGAGGAGATGACGGTGATCGATCGCGGGGGTAACTCGTCGGGAGCTCCAATCGCGGCGGCGAGGGCCAGACAGGCGGAGTCCTGGACAAGCGTGACGGGAACGATCATGCAACTGCTGGCGGTGTCGGCTGTCGCACCGTACAGCGGGTAGCGGCAACCTCGAAGGCTGGAAGCTGGTTCGACTCCTTACCACCGGCTGAGCTGCTTGCCGCCAGGAATGATGCCTGAGATGGGGTCATGAACGAGAAGAGGAAAGGCGGCGGCGGAAACTATCCGCCCGCAAACCCTGGATCGCCTAGGGTTAAAGGAGCCGCTCTACTAGGGCTTGCTCGATTGGGCCGAGTGTCTCGGCGCAAGTGGGCCGTGAGGCAATGGGAAGTGGGCCGTAGAGGCATGAGGCGCGTTTTGGCAAAGAAGGAGGACGTAGGTTTGGTCTTGGAAGGGTTGAATTGGGCCGAGCAAAGGTCAGGGCTGGAGCTGGGCCGACAATGGTCTGAGGAAGATCTGATATTAGTGCAGAGGTGGGTTTCGCACGATCTAATTCTTGGGCTTCCCAAGTGTGGATTAACTACTGCTCTATTATATGGTATTGGGCCGAATCAGGGATGGTTTGAGCCCAAAATCAGCTGTGTTTGGAAGAAGGATGGTTTTGGAGACTTAGCTAGTGGGCTTTCAAAGGAGTATGGCCCATAAGAAATTAGAGGGACAACAAGACAAGTTTATGGGCTAATTTTAAGAAAAAGGATTGAATGCCTCAAGGCGTTGGTACTTAAGGATGGATTCTTAAACAAAGAAGCATCTTTGAATTCCTTAAATGGTTGGAGTAGGATGCCGACAAAAAAGGAGTTTGCTAAAGTTCGACTTTGTCAAGGAAGCGATTAGTGGGCCCATATAAGAGAAAGTCAAAGACTTAAATCAGCACAGGAAGGTCTGTGGAAGAAGCCCAATACCGGAGTTGGAGCAGGATTCGAAGAAACGGAAGCGCAAGAAATGGAGGAGTGAGCGTGCAGATTGCGCGGGAAGGAAAGAAGAGTGGGTCAAGTCGGTCATATTGAGGGCAAGGTTGGTCTGAAGGGGAAGGATATGTTAGAAACCAATTTCATTAGGGTGTCTACATTTATTATTATAATTACTGTTAGGGTAATTCTAATTATGGTTAGTAGTCCTTAGGTCGAATTAGAATTATTGTTAGGGTTTTTCCGTATTCTTATAAATATGTAATTTGGTTTTTTAGAATCAATAAGAAGAATATTAAGAAAATCTCTAAACCCTATTCTCACCCAAATCCTCTCTATCTTTCTTCTCTCCCTATTCTTTCCTTGATCTTCCCCACTACTTCTTAACCCTAATTCTACCCTTCTCAATCCCAAATATCCCCCAATTCATAACCTGTTAGAAACTTCATTTCTAACAGAAACCGAGCTCTGGTACCATTACAAGAAACACATATATTGGGGTATATTTAGGGATTGCATATGGAAATTAGAGAGACTTATGAGTTTTCTCACAAATATTTGAAATTGTCTCTCAAAATGTTGAAATTTTGGTCTTGCCTCTATCTTTGTTTGCTACAAAACGATATAATTCATTCTAGCATCAACAATGGTAAAGACATACCTTAACCTAGGTGATACGATCCTGGGGGTGTATGTTATCAAAGTTGCGCAGCAAAAAATCAATCCGAAGATTGATTGAACTCGACTCAAGAACGAAGCGCTCTTAACACAAAATTTGGATAAAACGGAACCAACGGACAATTCCACAGCTGGAGAAAGCTCGTATGGTATAAAAAGGTTGTTGTTCGAACACGATTGAAGGGACTATTCAATCGATACACAAGCTCAGCAAGTTTGGAATCCACCAAACCCAACACAAGTTGCAACTTACACAAAACCAAACGGTTCTCAATTCTATTAATCAAAGTCTCCTGATGTGATAAAAAATTGTTCGATCTACGACTTGGAATTTCTTGCCAAAGATTCATTCCAACACATGTGAAGAACCCTAATTTTTGGTTAAGTATTTTGATTGTTTCAGGTAGCATACTTTGCATGTATGGAACTTTCAATTGGCTTGGTGGAAATTCGAGTTTAAGCACTTGTTTTGAATCTGGAGTGTTCTTCTTTGAGATGGAATACTTGGAAGCTCAAGAAGAAGCTAGGAGGACCCTTGTTCAAGTCGATCAAAAATGTCTCTAGAAAGCTGAAAACTGCCAAAATTTGGCTAAGAAAGCTGTTCGAGGAAGCAACTTTGGGGCCTTATTACAAGAGCTTGAGGTACAATCAAATGATGGTTCGAACTGGAGATGACACCGTGCAACTTTCTAAGCCACGAGAAGGAGTTGGCTGAGTTTGACGCGACCCAAAAGGCCATTTCCTACAAGCTCGAAGTTGGTCTGGAGGCTGGTTGTGGGACGTGAGCAGGAAGGTAGATTTCCTTGTGCAAGTTGGATTACTTGAGTTAGAAGATTCCTTATTAGAGTAGATTTCTTTTACCCCTTATGTTACAATTTGTTTCCTAATTTAAGTAGGTTAATTGTTTATTCTATTGGCTATAAAAGCCTTGCTCGAATTCATTGTAAACACACATTGAAGTTTAATTAGTCGAAAACTACTCCTTGGAGTTGCCCAAACTTGAGAGGTCGAATTTGTTCTTGGTTTTTTGGCCAAGAATTGCAGATCGATCGAACCAAGTATGCCCCTTGGTTGATTGATAGTTTCTACCCTCGTTAGCCTCCTTCCTTCTTATAACTGAACCATAGATTTTCTTCTTTGCATGTTAGTACACCGAAAATCGACATGCAAAATTCTCAAGTTGGGAGTCGCTGACCTATACGCACCGACTTGAGGGGCATCTCGGCTCTATGAAATCTCTACAACTATAGTTCAATAACAATGCAACAACAAGAGAATGCTCAGTTTGAGGTTGAGGGTTCATTCTCCACCTTGATGCGATACCCTACCAATTAATTTCTGTAAATTCCTTTATGAAATTTTGTAAGAAATCATGAGATGGTTGAACACGCAATGAGGTTTAGGACCCATGGTTCAATTTTGGCGGTTTCCTCCTTGTCAAAGAGGTTCGTGCTTGCGGGAGAGGAGCCATGAGGGTCCCTAACCCTAGCTAGCAGCAAAGATTAGTCAATTCCAAGTATACTGTACTGGTTTCGTATCCACAAAATAAAGCTAATTAATTACAAAAGCGACGTTTTAATTTGTTCTTTGGATGAATCTTTCCTATTAAAAAAATCGTGTATCGGCTTAGATTGGACTTATGAGGTACTTAATCCTCCCCACTTCCCACTATCTTATTCTATAGCATCTGCCGCTCTCACATGAATAATTATCACAGATTTGCATTCTTTTTTCAATTAATTTCCCATCTTTGCCGTGACAAGTAGAGATTAAGACAGGAAGCCGGAATGGACGACCATTATGCATTGCATCAATAAACAAATCAAGAGAAAGAAAATTCGTTGCTCCCCCAATGAGTTTTGTCGCTCTTCTTATTAGCTTCTTCGTCAGCTCTGATTTTCATGGTTGAGAATACAAAGGCAGTGCCCACTGAATGAATTGAAAACCCACCATGATCATAATGTATATTTTGGATTTGGAGGAGCACTATCTAATCTAAGCATCCATGTCTCTTTCGTTCCGTTAAAATAAACTATTACCGCCTGCCGAATGTCCACTAAGCTATACATCATTACGCTTCAGAAATTCGATGTATATATAAAAAGATCTGGAAACCTCTTCCCCGACTACAGAGAAAACCAACTATATACATAAATGGGGTAAGTCACCCTTATCCAAGAAACCAACTATACATGGGCAGTGCTACCCTACGTACCTAACTTCGAGTCTTGAATTTCCATCTTTCGCTGATTAAAGTTGTTCCTTCAACTTCAAGAATAACCTACCTAACTAGCTAGCTTCACTTGTAATTATACTAGCCACTACTGAGTTATTATAACGTGTGTAGTTACATTAATTTAGATCAGTTTAGCTTCATTCAGCTTGATTACCACCCTACAACTTGCATCATATTTAGAATCATTGATGGGACTCGTACATAGACCTAGACACATATAGAAGATCATACGTAATGGTGTCAAGAACGAGTCGGGCAATAACTAGAAGAGATTCAATTATGAATCATATATAATTTACTAACACACCCCTTCAAACGAAAGCCAACTCAAAAGGGTATGAAGTTTGCACTGGTTCATATACCATGTTCTTAATGTACATGGGCTGGGGCCGTGCTTGGGCCGGCATGGCACGAGCACGCTTTGGGCCCATTTATTTCGTGTCGTGCTTGGCACGACCCGTCAGTTTTCGTGCCGTGCCGTGCAAGCCCATTTGTCAATTTTGCTAGACCGGCCCAGGCCCGGGCACGGCTCGATCGTGTCGTGCCTATTCGTGCTCATGCCATGCTCGTATTCGTGTTTAATGAAAAGGACGAAAACAAAAGAGAATGAAAAAGAAGGTGAAAATTGGACGGGGGAAGATAGTATTAACCGATAATGTTTGAGAAAAGTAACAAATAGGGGGGGAAGAAAATTGAAAGTATAGCGAGTGTGATTTGGCTTTGTTTAATTCTTTATCCATTTTTACTTATGTTAGTAATTACGTATATATCTTTATGACACTTCTAACAACAACAAATAATAATAATTTTTCTACTTGTGTTTTGTAATATTTGAACCCATAATTCTTTTTATACTTATTTTCTATCAAATAAATATTATTTTCGTGTCATGTCCGTTCTTATACTCAATAAAGTCTCGAAAATATTAGGCCCGACACGGCCCACTTATATACCATGATGTGCCCGTGCTCGTGCCCGTGAAGTTTAGGCACTGCCCATAAATTATTCGTGCTCGTGCCGGGCTGGCCCATTTATTTCATGCCCGTGCTTGTGTCGTGCTCTAACCGTGATGTGTCGTGCTAGCCCTTGGGCAGCACGGCCCGGTGTCCACGTACAGTTCTTAATAGAACAAATGTGGGTTGTCGAGATTCGAACAAAAGACCTATTGGTCACAACAACTCTGATATCATGTCAACAAATCTGAACAGAACGGAACCGAAAAAATAAAGACGACACATTGATTTATGTGGT